CCATCTGTTGTGGGAAAAAAAATAGAAAAGAAAGAAAAGAGAGGAGAGGAATGTGGGAGGCGAGAAAAAATGGGGGGGGGGAATAATAATGAAGAAGAAAGAAAAAGAGGAAAAAGAGCAAAGAGAAAAGGAAGGAAAACAAACAACAACAACAATAGCAATGAAAATAAAGAAACAAGTGGCAAGTGACAGCCACCAAATACAGCTGTGGTGGAAATGTGGCATTCACTGAGCAGGAGCACACACCACTGAATACGGAGAGTCAGGAGTAGCACTAGTGAATGCAGAAGTGGTGGGAGCAAGGTACTCAGCTGGATAAAAAAAAAAGGTAGGAAAAGAAAAAGATAATGGTGTGGAAAGGTGGGAGATAAAGGAAAAATAAGGAGGGGAAGGGTGAAGGGGGAAGGACTAAGAAGAAAAGAAAGGAAAAGAGGAGAGAAGAAAAAAAAAGTGCACATTAGCTGTCAAGCACAGTGCAGCAGGAACACAGAGCTTTCTCCAGAACTCACAAAAGAAAATAACATTAAATTAAAAAAAAAAAAAAAAAAGAGGCTAAAGCAGAAGAAAGAAAAGAAATGGGGGAGAAGAGGGTAGAACTAAGAAGAAGGAAAATGGGACAAAGAAAAAAAGCAGCACAGTACCATTGAAAGTGCAAGCCACCAAGCAAGGCTGCACCAGAGTGCACACTTCTGACCAGGGAAGGGATGGGACAGGCTACTAACTGCATGGGCAGCGAGGTGGGGGCTCCCACTGCTCTGAGGAGATGGAAGAAAGGAAGAACCAAACAGAAGGATTAAAAAAAAAAAAAAGCAGTCCAGCACTGGCAGCATGGGAAGCCCCCACTGGTCAAAAGGTGGGAGTGGGGAGGGCCATGTTTCTGGTCACTGGGAGAGCATGCAAGGCAAGGGAGGAGGACACACCCCTCTGGTTGCATGATCACCAATATGGGTGCTGGTGCAGTCCCGGGCTACTAGAGCCAGTTATTTGGTTCATCCGCTCATCTGAAAACTTTACAATAATTTAAAATGGCCATGCTGTGCCAGCTCTGCTCCTTGTTTACTGTTTTTGTTCAGTCTCTTCCCCTCATTGGTATTTGATCCTTCCCTTTGAAGCTCTGAGATCCAGGATTGTCATCCATAGCTGTTTCCCTTGTTTTTTTGAGTCTTTGTTGTAGAGGGCCTGTGTAGTATGCCTGCCTATTCCACTGTTTTGGTTACTTCATGCTGCTTGAACAGAAAATACCACAAGTAGAATGGCTTGAACAAACAGGAGCTTATTCTCTTACAACTTTGGAGACTAGAAGTCCAATTTCAAAGTGCCAGCCAGGCTCTAGGACTGGTCGAAAGCCCCTGGACCTTGAGCTTCAGCTCTGCCTCCTGCTCCCAGCCCACTGAAGCTGGAGGCTTTTCTTCACCCAGGCAGCTGCTGGGTGCTGAGGCTGACAAACACAAAGTCAACAAGTAACAAGGCACAGTCCCGATATTACCAAATCACAGGGCAGGCCATTGATTCAAGCGCATTAAGAGTCCCAAGATCGGCAATGTTCTGGTTACCTCTATGCCACTCTGAGAGAAATATACCACTAATGGGATGGCTTGAACAAATAGGAGTTTATTCTCTTACAGTTTGGAGGCTTTAAGTCCAAGTTCAAAGTGCCAGGCTCTAGGGGCTGGGTGAAAGCCCCTCAAACTTTGGCTTCAGCTCTGCCTCCTGCTCCTGGCCCACTGAAGCTAGAGGCTTTTCTTTACTCAGACACCTGCTGGCTGCTGAGACAAACAAGCCCAAGGTTGACAAACAAAAGGGCACAGCCCCGATGTTACCAAACCACATGGCAGGCCATTAATTCAAGTCCATCGAAAGTCGCAAGGTTGGCAGAGCATGGCAGGCTGCTGAACAACGACTTGGCTACATGCAGGGTTCAAGCATGCCATAAGCTAGAGACCATTCCCAAAGCTGCTCATTATATGTGGGAAGCAGACCACATTCCTAAGACAGCTACTCAGCTGTTCACAGTAGATTACACCATGGAGATGATTACCAGTCTTATCATGGGGAATACTACATCCAGCTGCCTAGTCACTTAACCAGGCCCAACCAAGTTGACAAACTTAACTACCACAGTCAGACAATGTGACAGGCTGCTGAACAATGACTCAGCTACATGCAGGGTCTGAGTGTGCCGTAAGCTGGAGACCTAACTCAAAGTTGCTTCTTATATACTAGAAGCAGACCACAGCCCTAAAGCAGCTCCTGAACTCCAGTAGAATCCACCACGGAGATAATTACCAATCTCACCATGGGGAATAACTACATCCAGCTGCCCAGCCACTCAAAACCAGACCCAGCCAAGTTGACACACAACCTTAATTACCACAGTTCCACCCCTTGTCAACTTGGCACCTGTAGAGATCTCCTTTTTTGGGTGGCTCCAGTCCCCTAGTTCCTCTGAGTGATCTCACCTCCTTGGCCTGGAGGCCCTTATTCCTCTACCTGTTGGACATGGCAGCCCCACCCTCTCACTTTTGGGCAGCAGCTATGGCCCCACGCCACTGGCTCACATGAACGAGCATCCCCACACTCCAGAACCAAGTTGGTGAAGGTCTGGCTCCTCAAAACCTAGGGGGCTGTGTTGGTTCCATTCCCAGAGGCCATAGTCCTACCCTTGAGGCTGATCTGAGGCAGCTCTGCTTCCAGTTTCCTTGGTCTCTCTGCTTCTGCCAATAAATGCCTAAGGGCAACCCACTCTGCCAGGAAGCCACCTACCCAATGGCATCCAGCTTTCTCCTCTGTGAACTGGTAAGACTGTCACTATCTCATGCCAGTCTCTCAGCTCTGCTACTGTCATCTCTCATGCCCCAGGCTAGGGTTTCTCTGCCAGGGTTTCAGGTCAAGGAGACATTCCACTCCTGTTTCCACATTTTAGGTATCTGTCAGAACAGCAGCCCTCTCCCTTGGTACCATATTCTGTTTTGGTTCCTTCGTGCTGCTCTGACAGAAAATACCACAAGTGGAATGGCTTGAACAAATAGGAGTTTATTCTTTTACAGTTTTGGATGCTAGAAGTCTGAGTTCAAAGTGCCAGGCTCTAGGGGTTGGGTAAAAGTCCTTTGACCTTGGGCTTCAGCTCTGCCCCTTGCTCCCAGCCTCCACTGAAGCTGGAGGCTTTTATTCACTCAGGCAGCTGCTGGCTGCTGAGGCTGACAAGCCCAAGATTGACAAGTAAAAAAGCACAGTCCTGGTATTAATGACATGACAGGCCATTGATTCAAGTCCATTAAGAGTCCCAAGTTTGGCAGACAACATGGCAGGCTGCTGAACAACAATTCAGCAACATTCAGGGTCTGAGTGTGCTGTAAGCTGGAGACCTACCTCAAAGTTGCTTCTTATATACTGGAAGAAGCCCACATCCCAAAAGCAGCTACTCAGCTGCTCTAGTAGATTCCACCATGGAGTTAATTACCAATCTCACCATGAGGAATAACTACATCCAATTGCCCAGTCATTCAAAACCAGGCTCAGCCAAGGTGACACACAGCCTAAACTACCACATCTACCATCTTGGAGCTGGAACTGAATTTTGATTACTTTTAACACATATTTTATTATCCATATTCTGTTGAGGAAAACATGGATTGTATCCAGGCTTAGGCTATTGTAAGTAGACTGAATGCACTATTGTATAGGTATCTGTTTGAATCCCTACTTTCAAGACATTTAGGTATATACTCAGAAATTGAATATTAACCTAAAAGTCTGACCTAGATTGCAAAAGTAATAATTTGAAGTCCTTTCTCCATTTTTGGTAACCACATATAAAACAAATGTGACCATCCAAACTGAATAGTTGAAACTGTGGGCTTGGAACCATAGTAGTAAGGGACATCAAGCTCAACTGGCATAACATACTACACAGAACATTGTTCTACCTCCTACTTTGGTGAGTAGCAACTGGGATCTTAAAAGCTTGCAGGCTGCCATCTAGATGCAATGATGGGTCTCTCCTCATCCAGAGCAAAGAAGAATGAAGAAAACCAAAGACT